GAATTCACCCACTCAGCTCGCACCCACACCACCATCCTTCCAAAACCCATGCCCCCTCTCCCCTCCTTGGCCTGCCCGCCACGCATGCTCCTCCCACACTATCTGAACCGCCTTGGGGTTGGCCCCCGCTGCTTCTACCTCTGCTGGCTCTATTCCCTGGTGTGCAAGTCATCTCACTGCCTCCCACTGCTGCTTGGTCACTGCATTGTGTAATGGAGTCCCTGGGGGAGGGCAGAGGGCGGAGGGCAGAGAGCGGGGGGCGGATGGTGGATGAGAGAAGGCGGAGGGATACAAAGAGGAGGAAAGCGGCTCTGGAAGCAGATGCAGAGCCAGAGCAATTCAAGCGGGGTGCAGAGGGCACCGCAGGGTAGAGCGCATGAAGGCAAGAGGGCTAAGAAGCTGGGTGGAGAAAGAAACGAGCGAAGCACTTTCTACCGTTCTTGCATTGAACCAATCATGGCACTCACAGCCGCAAGGCACTCACAGCCGCCAGGCACGCACAGCCGCCAGCAGGCACATGCAGTCCACGTGGCCGCCATACGCCGCCACGTGCAGTGGCGTGGTGGCGTTGCGCGTGCTGCACACCCCCGCTGGCATGCCCATGCGCAACAGCGCCTGCAGCTGCAGGCACATGCATGGGAGAACGGCGGGGAGGGAGAGAAGCGGGCAGCAGGGTGAGTGCGGTCCATGCCTGCGACATTATTGAAGGTGCATGTGAGTGCAGGCACGTGGACGGGGAGGGATGAGTGCACACGCGTGATGGACGGTGGGTTCAGAGAGTGTTGAGCGGGCTGCATGGCTGTGCTGCATGGGTGAGAGCTGGTGCATGGCTGTGCTGCATGGGTGAGAGCTGGTGCATGGCTGTGCTGCATGGGTGAGAGCTGGTGCATGGCTGTGCTGCATGGGTGAGAGCTGGTGCATGGCTGTGCTGCATGGGTGAGAGCTGGTGCATGGCTGTGCTGCATGGGTGCAGGCGGGGAGGCAGGTGAGACTGACCACGGGGGAGTCACCATTCCGAGCAGCCACATGCATGGCGGTCCAGCCCCACTTGTCCACCACGCCACTCAGCCCCTCTGCTGACTCCACCCCGCATGCCCGCACCACATGCCACAGCCCCTGCCCCTCCTCCTCCCCACCACCCTCACCACTAGTACATCCCCTCCCCCATGCACTCACCTCCCTGTCAAAAGGGACGACGTCTCTCTTCCCCCTCCTCGGGCAGCACCTGCTCTCCCCCTCCATTCCCCCTCCCCATCAACCCGCGCCTTATTCCGCCCACCCCTAATCTCCTTCCGCCCATCCCTGATCTCATTCCGCGCTTCCCTAATCTCATTCCGCCCTTCCATAATCTCATTCCATCATAACTACTCGCATTTCGCCCATCCGCAATCTCATTCCGCTCTTCATACTCTCATTCCGCCCTTCCTACTGTCATCCCTCCCTTCTTAATCTCGTTCCGCCCTTGTTCCTCTCATTCCGCCCTTCTTCCTCTCATACCGCCCTTTTTCCTCTCATTCCGCCTTTCTTCCTCTCATTCCGCCTTTCTTCCTCTCATTCCGCTCTTCTTCCTCTTATTCCGCCCTTCTTCCTCATTCCGCCCTTCGTCCTCTCTTTCCGTCCTTTTTCCTCTCCATCCGCCGTTCTTCCTCGCATTCCGCCCCTCGTTCTCTCATCGCGCCCTTCATCCTCTCATTCCGCCCTTCTGCCTCTCAATCCGCCCTTCTTCATCTCACACCGCCCTTCCTACCTGTTTTCGACGTTCCAAATCGCATTACGCAAACCCTAAACTCATTCCGCACATCCCTACTCTCATTCCGCCCGTAGTAGTCGCAATCTGCCCTTCCTAATCTCAATCCGCGTTTTCCACTCTAAATCCGCCCATCCCGTCTCTCATTCCCGATCAAGGAAGATGCTCTCATACTAATCGTAAACGGGGGAAATAATGCTTAGCTGGCTTTCTATTTCGGTGTTACTACGGCTCAGCGACGGGAGTATGGTTGCTTGGCGTGGGCACTCATTTTCTGACTTCACACTTCTGTCAACCTCAAAACGTGATTGCGTCGCCAGGGTGGGTCGCATAGTTCTCAATCAGACGCAAACCTGTCCCCCAAGGCTCGTCTTACACCCAAACCTGCCCACCCAGGTTTGTTTTGGCCTTGATTGTTGGGGAGTTCGCTGTGTTCTTTTCACCCGCTCGTAAAAACTTTCGTCTTTCGTTACCCAATCACGGACGGGCAAACCCAACCAGGTGTTAAACCTTTGGAAATTTGAGACCCGAGCTTTAAGGACGAGATGAAGCATACGTTTGCCAACCTAAAGATCGTGCCGGCGGTCATCCCTGGAGGCTGCACGGCGGAGGTGCAGCCGTTGGATGTCAGCATCAACCGTTCGTTCAGGAATATAAGATGTAGGTTTAAACTTGTAGCGAAGCAACTTTGTAATAATAGCTTAAAAAATAAAAACAAACCAACTAGGGTACGCCTTTAAAAAGTCACGGTGTTCCAGGGGGGCTGGATATAAGCGCTCTGCGCCAATGAGAAGCGCATGCACTTATCATAGGCCTACGCCTATATCGGGGTGACGTGGTAGAAAATGATCTGTTAGAAAAGGAGTGTCTTATAATATAATGATTTTGCCCAAGGGGGTAGAGGGGGAGGGGGGGTGGGGGAAAGATAACAGAAACCGGCAAAACAAGCTGCCCCCAGCCGCATAAGCAAACCAGGGGGCCTTTAATCGCAGGGGTTGGTACCGGTATCTCCGGGTGATTATGGTAACAAAAGCAGAAATTTCCTCTAAATGACGTCTTCCAATTAAATCAAAAGCACCAGAAGACCTCCGATGACCCTATTGCGCTACAACTCAACTGGGTACACATATGGACCTGCTACCTACAGTACCAGAGCAACTCTTGCCATTATATTCTGCGAACTGGGCATCACTTGTAAACCGACCTGTAACAAAAACTCTTGAACACGAATCTTTGATGTTCACCTTCTTGGATTTGCCCATTTTGCAAATGACGCTTGCTGTAAATGACCAATACTCTGCCCTCAGACAAACCTGGCACAACAGGAGACATGAAAGCCAAACTTGAGAAGTTAGCTGTGACAAGAATGCAGAATTGAGGCAATGGTAATCGGGGCAAAATTGTTCAAAAAGCTTGACAGGGAAGAGACTGCTAGCAAACACAGTAGTGCCAAAACTGCTATTCACCAAGTCCCAAGGTTTGTGGCACATTACAGAACTAATGTACCAAGAATTACCATTGTCCACCACTTTGCACTCCTATCTCTCCCTCCCTTCCCATCCCCACTTTTACTTCTCTACCCTGCTAGCCTCATGGCCCCTTCCCCTCCCTCACTCCTCCACTACCCTTTCCTTAACTCACTCCCTTCACAGTTTTCTCCAGAAAATTATACGCCCTTTAAGCCCTTACCTGCACTTTTATGTTGCTAGGGATGGCGCTGGAGCATGTGAGGCCGGGATTGGTGCGGTACAGCTCAGCCCAGTTACTTCCATTGACAGCCCCACCCGACTCCTTGCTGGTCCTTCGAAGAAGCACCTCACACGTGTCTTCCGTTGTCAGCGTGTCGTATCTCAGACACTCAGGTACAGTGTAGGCGAAAGCATTGCTGCGCTCGATGCACACTGACTGGCCCGCCTTGATGCCATTGGGCGAACAGTCGAGGCCGGGGTTGAGCTTGGCAAGATCGTCCCCACCCAAGCCGAGCTGGGTGCTGATGTATGAACAGGTGTCGCCCTGGGAAGTTGGACAATGGAGAGAGCACGTGTTGAGTGCACGTGCTGCTGAATACTATTGGATGTAAGTTAGCTAGGCTAGCTCATTAAGACCACTACACACAACGGAGAAATCAAGAGGGCACCACCTTCCCTCACCTTGAGGGCGTAAAAGAAGGCAGTGCAAGGTATCTCAGGAGTACCACCCAGCTGAAGGACACTGCCCTTGGGCAATGGCTGGTTGCAATCTAACTCCTGCATTGTGGAACACAACATTTGCATGAAAAAGTGGTGTGAGTCCGATCTGACTCACATTCCTGAGCTCACCAATGCAGAACATCAGCAATGTTTCAGATGAAAGAACAATATGTCAATGAAGTACCATTAGAACCAGATAGGCGAGGCCAACAAAACCTTGACCACTCATGAGCCCAATCTTTACCGCATTGTTAGAATAGAACCCTTCCAATGAAAGGCCAACAAGTGCAGAAACATCTGAGCACTGCCAGTTGTCTCCAGTAACTGTCATGTCGGTAGCTGAGGAATTCGCTGTAGACGTTGGGTACAGAGAGACGACGGAAAGAAGGAGGAGTAACGTTGGGTTGGGGAGAAGAGGTCCCATTTCAAGAAGGGCTCTGTTTTTTGTTTCTTGTTTGTTCTTTTGAGCCAGAAACTTGGAGCAATGAAGCATCACCTGGATCACAGGTGGGGAAGCCGTAAAGTGTGACTCTTTCGATGTGGTTGGGAGGGCAGATGCAGGAGTAGGAGCCCTTGAGATCGTTGATGCACGTGCCCACGTAGCAGGGGTTCTTGAAGTACGACCCACACACGTCCACTGCCACAACGGTTAGGGGTGATGGATATTCCATGTATTGGAGACATCAGGGAAGATCAAGCAGCGAGGGACATGGGAACAAGCGAGGCATTAGGATAGGATATGTGACAAAACGGCAGGGGTATAGCAAGGGTTATCATGCCATGCAACATTCCCTCCAGTGTGGGTTGAGAAGACAGAGAAAGAGAAAGGGAGAGCGCAAGATAGAGACAGAGGGAGATAGAGGGAGAGGGCGTGTGTGTGTGCGTGTGTGTATGTGTGTGTGTGTGTGTGTGAGAGAGAGAGAGAGAGAGAGAGAGAGAGAGAGAGACATTAGCTCTGTCTTTGTCCTCTTCCAAGAGTACTTCTCCATCACCCTCGCCACCTGCGATGGCGCTGTCGACTACGTGGGGTGTATGCAGGAAGTCACTGATCGCCTTGCTGCTCGTCACGCCGGCTCGACGCGAAGAGCTCGGTCGACAGGGGGGGATTCCTCCCACAGGCTCTGGGAATGAGGAGCATCTTGGGCCGGAGGCGGCAACGACTCCCACGGGAAGACCCCGTGGAGCAGAGAGGGGGTTGGCGACGAGAATTCCACCGGCGACAGCGGCGCGGGGGGATCAGGAACAACAGGAGGAGGGGACAGCGGCGGAGGCCGCAGTGGAGACTGGGGCGGCACAGAGCTCTGCTGTCGGGACTGCCGCTGCCTCTGGCGACGACTTAGATTCACCCTCCGCCACTGCCCCGGCGGCACAGCGGCTTGCGGTGCAACAGGGACAGGCAGGGGGGAGGGGGGCGGAGCAGGGACGAGCGGAGGAGGCGACGAGGGCTGCGCCACTGGTACCGGCTGCGATGGCTGTGACGGCGGGGGCAACGGGACGGGACGGAGGCAGGCCCGAGGGGGGTGTGACGGCTGGCGCTGCGTCCGCCGGAATGACTGCTGCTGCCGTGGTCGCAGATACGCAGGGGTGCGGCCAGGCGGCGGGTGATACATCGGGTCGCGGAACCGGCGTTGCTGTGCGCGCCGCTCGCAGGAGAGGCGGGAGGAAGGTTCGCGCCCAGCCAGCGCCGAGACGGCCCGAAGCAGGGCTGGGACCTGGCGTTCCGGGACCCCTCCTGGGCTGGCTTCGGCAAGCGCAGCCGCCACAAGAGCCAGGGCATCATTTGACATTGCCGGCTGCCGCAACAACGCCTGCCACCGTCGTACAAGCCGCAACCACTGGGACCTCTGCGGATCCAGGCGAGAGACCGCCCCCTGGGACCTGCGGAATCAGCAGAAGCAGGTGGAGGCGTTCCGGGAATGCAAGGGACTCGTCGCTCCGCGAGGCTAGGCACGATCACCTGGGGACCGCCACGTGGCGGACGCACCCCCTGGATGCCGGCAGGTCGCGGGGTAACAAACGGCGCGGTGGGAACCGCAGATGGCACCGGTGCTGGGCGTGGGGGGCGCGGGGATGCGCGTGGTGGCTTCAGGGGAGGACGGGGTGGGCGCAACGCGTTTCCCAGAACCAAAATCCCGCTGCGAACGGGCACGTGGCGGAAGCACCACAATAGACCGGAAAGGGCAGTTCCCCCAGCAAATGAGGAACCGGGTGAGCCTGACGATCTGGAAGCAGACCCGGGGTTTATGGGTGGGGAAGAGGAGACCTCGGAAGAGATCTCGCTGGAGAACGAGGACGAAGCGGTGAGAAACAACCACACAGGCGAGAGGAGAGCGACGAATGGGGAAGCAGCAGAGAATCCTGTGGAAGGGGTAGAGGAGGCAACTGAGGATACAGACGTCCCGTCACCGTCCGAGCTGGCTGAGGATGACTCCATCGGGCAAATGGCAGGAGGGTGGAACGTAGATACATTAAGGAGAGGTGACCAGCCCTTCCTGGTCCACCGGCTGCCACCTCAGCTGCTCGACCGATACTGCCTATGCATGCTGGCCACACTCCTGCACCTACAGAAATATCCAACCTGCCATGGTGGATGGACCGTCCTGCAATTTCTCCCGAGGTTAACCCTCAGACCCGAGCCCGAACCAGTGACAGGAAGCAGGTGGGCAGTCATCGAGGCTCGGCTGCATCAATTTCAACGAGGCGCCTGGGGGGAGCTCTTTGAAAAAGCAGGGGTCATCCCCGACAGAGACACCCTGCTATGCCACCAAGCCGACGAGGAGGGCCTTTGTTCGAGAGCAGAAGGATTGTTAAAGAAGGGTAACATCTCCAAGGCAGTTTCGGCGCTACGAACAAGCCCGCTCGCAGAACCAACCCCCGCCACTCTGGAAGCGCTCCAGGCGAAGCACCGAGCAGCCGGAACGCATTCGCCAGCATGGGTAACAGGCATCAGTAGCTCTGACTTGGCTGTTACGGAAGACGCCCTTCGAGAAATTCTAGCGAAATGCCCAAACGGAGTCGGGGCAGGGCCTACGGGGACCTGTTTCGAACACCTGCGAGACCCTGCCCTGGCTAACGAAGAGTCACTCCTACTCCTCGCTAAAATTATCAATCTGCTACTTAGCACCTTCCAACCACAGCACGTACGGGATCTCCTCCTTCCCTCCCGCCTCATAGCCCTCGAGAAGCCGAACGGTGGCGTTCGGCCTATTGCGATCGGGGAGGCGCTGCTGCAAGTGGTTGCTAAGGCAGCACTTCACACCCTAGGCAAAGAGACCCGGGGATTTTTGTTACCTGTGCAGTACGGCGTAGCAGTGCCGGGGGGCGCGGAATGCATTATCCACACCGTTCGCGCCCTACTTAGAGAGGATGAGAAGCGGATTGCGCTACAGCTGGATGTGGAGAACGCCTTCAACAGGGTCGAACAGCCAGCCTTCATGGAAGCACTGCAGTGGTCCAGCTTGAGTCAACTCCTGCCCCTCGTCCGCAACTTATATGACGGTTCCTCACGACTGCTCGTTGACCCTCGCCTTGGCATCGATCACAATCAGAGCTCTCGCGGTGTCAGGCAGGGTGACCCCCTCGGCCCACTCCTTTTCGCAGCGGCGATTCAACCCACCCTTCCTAGTATTTCCACGACTATGCTGGAAGTTGCGGTGATTGCCTACGCGGATGACATCCACGTCATGGGCCCGCGAGAAGCGGCCAGTTTGGCCTTCACCACAATCTCCAACAAGCTCGCGGAGTGCGGATTACGGTGCAACATCGCCAAGTCTTCGGCATGGGTAGCATCAGAGGAGGGTGGGAATGACGAGCTGCCGCTGGGTTTGGTAGCCAGCAGGGAAGGGATCCGGGTCCTGGGTAGCCCTATCGGACGACATTATCCGGGTCTTAGCTTAGCTTCCCATGATGCCTTACTTGCCTGTACCTTATGATCCCTATCAATACATGACTGCTTGAGAGAGAGAGAGAGAGAGAGAGAGAGAGAGAGAGAGAGAGAGAGAGAGAGAGAGAGAGAGAGAGAGAGAACCCACAGCAAGGCTGGAACCCACAGCAATGTCTTACCATAAGCACAGGTTTTGGAGCCACCTCCGTTGTCAACTTCAACAAAAGGTTGAGCTTTTTGAGAAACTTGAGGAATAGCGCAGCTGCATGTATGGCCTTCATTGGTCATCTGGCATGGGAACCGGCCACACGGGTTCATGCCGTACGGATCCTGGTCGCCCTTGTGGCTATTGCTGCTGCATGGGTCCCCTGGAACTGAAAGGTGAAAGAGAGGGTACAAGGTGAATGCATCAACACCCAAGTTTGTCGACTGTAGGACAAAGCAACGTGTTAGTAAATTTGCAACGCATGCCATACTACCAGGGTACATAGAAGCTAAGTACCAGTTTAAGTGTTGCTGCCTTTCCAAACTTGCCAGCATCCGGAACTTAAGGGGAAGGGTAGGGTCTGTCCAACAATTCTGCCAGAGGTGGTCGGTAGCACTACAGCGTGGACAAGCCATCACTTACCTTGTCAAAGGTGCCTCAAGCTGACGGCTCACTGGTCGGATGTCCTGCTGAGTCCCCCTCTCACCTGAAGAACATGTTTCTCACTCTTGACAACAATGGGGTAAATACTTCTTTCGTGACAATGGCGTAGATGCCTCACTCTTGACAACGGGGTAGATGCCAGGTAGCACGTTGATGCCACACACGCCATCCCCTCCCTGAATGCCCATGCGCATGTGGCCTTGGTCGCCCCACTCCACTCCCCACGAGTTGCGGATGATCCAAAATGGAGGAGCAATACGGTTTTGGCTGCCGTCGTCTCGATTGATGAAGTAGCCGACGACGAGCACCACATGGTTCAGACTGCCCGTGTAGCACGCAGGGTCCTGGTACTTGAAAGACTGAAACCAAAATGGGGACAGGATATACATCCGTGCATTATGAAGCTAAAACCCACGGTTCACCGATAAGCTGGCCTTTGTCTACTTGTGAAGCATGCACATGAATACATGTGCCATCCTACAAGAGTGCACTACAATGCATCATTCCGAGAGGCATCACACTGCATGAGAACTGCAGCGACTCACCCCATCATACTGGCAGAACTCACCCCATCATACTGGCAGAACTCACCCCATCATACTGGCAGAACTCACCCCATCATACTGGCAAAAATCACCCCATCATACTGGCAGAACTCACCCCATCATACTGGCAGAACTCACCCCATCATACTGGCAGAACTCACCCCATCATTCCGCCAGGCACTGCGACTCACCCCATCATACTGGAAGAACGTGTCAGCTGTAGCCTGGATGTGAACCACCACTGGCTGGCGCCGCACTGCCAGCATGAGCCCGAAGTACCCCTTGAAGAGCGCCCGCTCAAATGCTGCCACCGGGTATGGTGTTGCCTGGGAACACAAGAATGGGCTCCAAGATGTATGAATAGAGCAAATGGATGAAGCAAGCAAGGGTACAAGGACCATGCCAAGTCCATGTCGCTCTAAGCCCAACGGAAACCATTGAACCAAGAGTTGTTTTACAGCAGGAGACAGCTCAATGCAAGGCCAGTCTATCCACGAGTTAGACATCCATCACACGCAAGGATTCCTTCATTTCAAAAAAAATTGCAAGGGGGGTGAGTCTTGAACGTGCGCATGCATACGCCTTTCATGACAGACTAGAATTTTCCGCTTGCTTTTCTCTGCTACACTCTAGTTCTTTTTCTTAGAGCAGCTTGCCGCCATGGAACCCGTTTTTAGCAACATTTTATGACTCCACCCACCCCACCTTACTTACGATGCCCTCGTTCTGTTTTCCCTACCGGGTCACTGTCTCCTGTGAGTCCACTGCTGGCGTCAAGAGTGACGAGCTTCTCAAAGGCCGCAGTGGGGGAGCCTCCAGCGGTGCACTTGTTTGCATCGGTGAGCCCCATGGCTGCAAAGAGGGACTCCACTGACAGCGGAGGAGCGGCTTGATTCAATGCGATGCCGTACGCAGCCTCCACACTCGCCACCACCGCATACGCCCAGCATGCACCTGAGAATAATTAAACATGAGAACAGTGAATCGTGCTTAGCCTCTGAGGGTAGAGCAGATCAATAAGGGCAGCATCCATATGAGAAGTAGACACGGGAACAGCGAACGAGGGTAAAAAACCTTCCCAACTTGAGGACCTTGCTGCCCCGAGCAAAGACCACATTAGTGGATGAGGTTGCAAATTGCAACCTGACACTACGCTAAGAGATAACCGTGTATGGTGTGCACCATGTGAACATGAAGAATGGAGGACCTCCGATCTGGAAAGGTCCACTGACACACTTCACATCAGATTTCCATCCTCTTGTCACTCACTGCAAAGCAGCTGATCCTTGACAGGCCACTTGAGGAAGGCCATGGAGATCCAGGAGTGGAAGTCACGGATGGCCCACGAGTCCACGCTCGCATCGTTGTCCGTCCATTGGTAGTCCGTGCTCATGTAGCGCGAGAACGGGTTCGCTCCAGGTGGTGCGAAAGTGCTTTCTGATACTATTAGTCCAAGTTCTGTGAGGAGAGAGAAGGGGTGGACAAGGAGATACACGTAAACTAGAGAACATGGGTGATGGGTACAGGTACACATGGCGCGCGTATGAAGCACAGATCAAACTTGGAGCTCGCATTGAACACAAGCCACTACACTAGAGTTTGCAACTTTGCACAATGAATAAACGGAGCAGATTCATGTGTTGTTGTACATTCAGCATAAGCATGAGCAGAGCAGTCAACAAAATCGGCTCCGATACTTTGGCCCTCCGGTTTGAGTCGAACCGGACTGGTTTGCTGAAAATCGAGATCGCCTCGCCTCTAGCTGGCTCTGGAGAATGCAAGCATGTGATGTGGTTTCCAGGCTGAAGGTTCACCCAAACAAGGCCTAAAAATATTTGTCAGAAATGGCAGGTTAAAAGCATTCTGACAAGGGTAGTGCAGTTAAAAGCATTTTGAGTAATGAGTCTGTTGCATTTCGCGTCATGTTGCACATCGAACCGTGTTTGGTAGCCCTCTGTGGACAATTTGGGTTGAGATAAATGTTCTCCGACATTTGCCTGCTGTACCTTATTTTTCCGACCATTCCGGTTTCCTTGTTCTTCTCACATTCTTTTGCTAGTTACTCAGAATTCAGCACCACCGGTCTGGCTGTAGTTTCCATGTATCTACGCTTTCATCACTGCTCCTAGCATTGCCTTGCCAAGCATCATGTCAGAATCCCAACCACTAAACCATTGGGATAAAAGGGCTTGTTAAGTAGCGGGTGAGTGCGCCCATAACCCCCCAGGACAACGAGCCTGTAACCTTTCCCTAGGATCAATCGGGGATCACCAGTGGACCTCTGACACATCAGTGCTTAGGTGTGGGCATGAACAAGTAGACGAAACCCCCTTGGGTTCGTCACGAACGAATCAAGCCGTTACCACTAAGGCAACGACGAACCTCCCTAACAGTTCCAAATCAAGCCGTTCGAACCGGTCCGAACCACGCGGGCCATGTTATGTCAAACAGTTTTTGTTCGACACGACTTTGATTCTGACTTGAACCTAACAGGGATTTTCAGGGTCTATGCAGTCCAAGTCGCAAGGATCTTATTTCAGGCCCTAGAAACGAATATGGCCCCTACTTTCAGGGTCTGGTTTCAGAGCTTCAACTTTCAGCCTGTACGTTTTCTCCACGGTTTAATCAATTATATTTCCTTGTCACTCAAGGGGCAAACAAGGGGGGAGCGAGGGGTCCGTTCAAACTTTAACCGACCTAACTTGAACCACAGTTCGAGTCGAACCACGTTCGGCCTGATAACCACAATCAGGCCAAGAACCTGTCGGTCAGGTCCCCTAAAGGTTTGATTCAAAACGGTTCAGGTTTGGTTCGACCAACATGCCGGGATGACTCGGTTCGTGTCAAACTGGTTCAGGTTTGACCCGAGCTCATGCCTAATCTGGCATATGCATAAAGAAACGAACCTGTGTTGTCGAGTTTGCTTTCAACTATCATGGGCGTTACTACTACTGCTTATCATCTCAAATGCTGGGTGTCACATGGCAGAGAGAGTTCACCTCGAGTGGTCTGGACTGGCTTGGGTGCAGGCAGTATCTCTGTGAGAAGACAAAGAAAGGCAACCACAGCACCAGCAAGATGAAAGATGAGATTCACGGCTGGTTAACGAAACAGCTTTCAGCTCGTCAAGGGCTGAGCCGCGAGATTTTTGATGAGTACATTTAAGTTTGTCAATTGAAGTACCATGATAAACAACTATGTTCAAAGCCACCATCACCGTAGTGCCATCACCACCACCACAACCACTGCCACCGCCACCGCCGCCGCCGCCGCCGCCGCCGCATCATCATCATGATCATCATCATCATCATCATCATCATCAGCAGCATCACCTCACCGTCACCCCACTCAGCAAATTACTCGCCTGTTCGCATGGCGGACTTGACAATGCCATGCATCTGAAAGGGCTTCACAGTGGTGGACGCCACAAAGCCAAAGAAGAATGCCGGCTGCTGCCCACTAGGCTGCAGCACCGCACACAGCGACAGCTCCCTCTGCAGCAGCGGCTGCTCTGGCTTCACCCTGGAACTGGCCAGAAACACTTGAATTGTTCCAGAATTCCAAGGGTCATAGTCCACCCATGCCGTGTAGATTTCACCATCGGTGAGAGTGAATGGCGACTCCACTGCGACCAACGAACTATCCGAGCCATTTACGTTGAGCCCCACATGCTGAACCTTCAGATCATTGTGGTTGGCATTCTGCAGCGTGTCAAACTCAATGGCTACACTCCGCGTTCCCATTCCACCATACCCTACTCCATCAGCTTTGCCCACCTTGCCCTTGGCCGCGATCACAAATGCAAAGCCGTTGGACCCCCCAGAACCATCCTGGGGAATGAGGCAGAATGTGAAATTGACACTGAAAGCCAGCTCCACGCCGCAACCCGTGCTTTGAGGCTTTGTGTACGCAAAAAGTTTTACTGGACTTGCCATAAACATCCCTGCTGTCTGCCGCTGCGTTCCCTTGGTTAGAATGCTGAATACGGGAAGAATAGTCTTGCTGACAAAGAGGCCACGATCCCAACCTGGATGGTTTCAACAGATGACAGAAGGCAGAAGGAAGGGTGGGATTGGTGGAGCAAGCAATGTTCAAATCCAAGCTGGAAAAAAAAAAGAGCTGCTACACTGGTGAAGACAAATAAGGTCTGTGCAACATAAGTTGCAGTGCAGCAGCTAGTGTCCCCTTGGTCTGAAAACCTGGCAGTTCGTGTAAGACAAGACGACTGTACGGCTGAGCAAAATGAGTGCAGTATTTCTGTTTCTGTAACCCTTTTTTTGCTCACCTGGTAAACAACGCAAAGGCATGGGCTTAAGCCAATCAATGTGCAGTGCCTTTCAAACAAAGAAAAGAACGTGGTACTAACGTGGAGGAGGCAAGGCACATAAGAAGTGTGATTTGGCACGGCGACGAAAAATACAGAACTGATCATTTATGTTTTGCACAAGCATCAATGATACAACAATTACCTTCTTCAAAACAGTTGAACCTTCCAACCCGCAGGTATCTTGGTTGACACAAGCACGTTGGCACCAAGCTGGGTCCGTCTGGATAGCAGATGCCACGGCCATCACAAGCATTCGCGCCACCACAGAATGCCATGCACTCTGCTGCAGGCCGCTGCGTGGAGGAACAGTTTTTCTGCTGCGTGCGGGGACATTCGGGCTGTGTGAAACAGTTGACGGCAAGATGGCTGTTAACGGAGGCTGAACTATTCAGAGGACCTGTCAAGTAGTTGCTTGAAAGGTCCATCTTGTACCATGGAAGACCCGTAATCGGGCCTGAGAGGTAGTTGTGAGAGGCATCACTGCACGTGAGATAAGGAGTACGGGTAGAGGGAGGTGTGGGTGGTGGGGTAGGGTAGTAAACATCCACAGGCAGGGCATATGGCTGAGGGCAAGAAATAAAATCGAGCAAGAAAAAAAAAACCGAGGAGGAGGAGGAGGAGTGCCAAGCAAAGAAAACCAAGCAGGGGCCTCACAAATATTTCAGATTGAGAAAGCGAGTGCCAATGCCAGAAGGAATGGAGCCACTGAACTGATTGTTGTTGAGAGTCCTGGGGTAAACACGAGTAGGAAGCCTGAGAATGCAGAATGGTGCAATCACAAAAATCTTCATATGCATGAGCTCGGTACCGGATTGAACCGGTTTGGTTTTATACCCTTATTACTAAACCGGTTCGTTACCGAACGGAACTGGTTTGTAGTTCGTGATATAAGGCTGAACCAGTTCCACCGAACCGGGTCGGTTCCGTACCAATCAGAACCGGTTCGGTTCGCCAGGGCCCTTGCACAATAGTTACCACTAGATGAAACCTAAAAACGGACCGTGGGAACCACCCCAATGTTAGGTAGAAGAAGACATAATCGACTATGAGAGAGTTGGAGCTCGATATGAGCTCCTAGCCTCTGGTTGTTTTCCCTAGATTCGAACCGGTTCGCTTTGGCAACAGGTTGTTGCTAACAAACCAGCCGCCCAAGAAAACGGTCGCGTTCTGGAAAAAACGAACCAAACCGGGGCGGGGGTAATTGTATTGCTCATGCCTGAATATGGACATGGCATTACAATTTCATATCCAGGATCGATAATTCATGTGCGGGTTATTCGCTTCACTACATGTACAGAATGTGGATTCTCACCTTTTTGTAACAAAAAAGAGACGCAAGTGAGAGGAGAAACAGGGAAAGGGCATTACAGGGTCTCCAACTTAGTAGAGAGGGTTGAAACGAAAGAGAGATTTCCAGTGAACTTGTTGCTGGCTAAAGTTCTGCAGTTACGAAACGAGCAGAGCAAGAGAAAGTCTCTGCAGATGAAGACCAAGAACTGGGAAAGCTGAGAGGAACAAATAAGGAAATATGGCAACAGAAAAACGAGAAGCAGAAACTAGAGAAGTGAACAGAACAGAGGATCGCAAGAAACAAGAATGAAAAGCAAAAAGGACAAACCGGGGAAGGAGCAAATCACAAATCATCAACAACAATGCAACGGGTTCTTCAAAACAGGCTCTTCAAATGGGGTGATGCTGTGGCATCGCTGCATAAGATCAACTCACTCTTCACTGCACACGCACATAAACAGCCCTTTTTTGGTGGAATGTAAAAGATGTCTCTCTCTCGATCATCAGATGAAGAAGCAGGAGAAGGGACAAGCCGTACAATGTTGTCAATGCTGTTAAAGAGCTCAGAGTAGAAGGAGGAATGGGGCCCTCAAGGTGATTGCCTCCCAGATACCTGCGTTTGTGAAAGGATGGAGAAACATCGAGCAAGGCATGAGAGGTAGAGTGGTGGAGCGTGCAAGACACTGACCAGGGATCAGTCAAACAAGCTGGGAGAATTGGAGCTACGATGGACAAGAGGTTCTGGATTGAGAGAAGTGTAGATGGAAGAAGAGGAA